TTTACGGCAGCTTGCAGAGTCCCAGTTGGAAGTGCAGTTCATAGGAGAGCTGTCCTGGGCCTGGTTTGCTGGCTTATCTGTACACTTTCTCCAGAATTACATCACTTCACTTAAACTTTTAACTTGCCCCAAATGGCACTTTAAATTGCTCTTTTTGGTTTTGTTCTGCAGTGCTGAGATTGAACTCAGGACTCCCGTATGCAAAGCAAGTGTTCTATCACTGTGCCACACCCCCAGGCCTACTTTATATTGCCTTTATTTCATGGGTGTTTAGCATGTTGGCATCATACTTGAGGAATCTCTTTTTTTTTCTTTTTTTTTTAATTCAATCATTGTGAGATACAGTTACAAAGCTTTCAAATATGAGTTTCAGTCAAGCAGTGATCGAACACCCATCCCTCTACCAGTGTACATTTTCCACCACCAATGTCCCCCTTCCTCCTCCTCCCTCTTCTATCCCCCCTCCCCCTTTCTGTGTGGTAGACAGTTTCCCTCATATTCTTTGTCTCTCTCCCTTTGGGCATTATGTTTTGCAGTACAGATACTGAGAGGCCATAATGTTTGATCCTTTGTCTACTTTCAGCACACATCTCCCATCCTAAGCAATCATTGCCTTGGTGATCCCTTCTCTATCCCCACTGCCTTCTCCCCCAGCTCATGAGGCAGACTTCCAACCACAGAGCAATCTTCCTGGCCTTTGTCTCTACTGTCCTTGGGTGTTAGTCTCATATTATGTTATTTATATTCCACATATGGTCTGGAGCTATAGCACAGTGGTAAGGCATTTGCCTTGCACGCAGCCAACATGGCTGACCCGAGTTCGATTCCTCCGCCCCTCTCGGAGAGCCTGGCAAGCTACCGAGAATATCACGCCCGCATGGCAGAGCCTGGCAAGCGTGATGTATTTGATATACCAAACACAGTAACAACAAAGTCTCCAATGGAGACGTTACTGGGCCCACTCAAGCAAATCAATGAACAATGGGAGAACAGTGATATACAATGATATTCCACAAGTGAGTGCAGTCATCCTATGTCTGTCCCTCTCTTTCTGACTCATTTCACTTAGCATGATAATTTCCATGATCATCCACTTATAAGCAAATTTCATGACTTCTTCTTTTTCTAATAGCTGCATAGTATTCCAGTGTGTAAGTGTACCATAATTTCTTCAACCAGTCTTCTGTTCTTGGGCCCTCGGGTTGTTTCCAGATTCTGGCTATTGTGAATAGTGCTGCAATGAACATACAGGTGCAGATGTCATTTTTACTGTGCTTTTTTTTGCACTCCCAGGATATATTCCCAGAAGTGGTATTCCTGGGTCATATGGAAGCTCAATGTCTAGTTTTTTGAGGAATACCCATATGGTTTTCCAGAAAGACTGGGCCAGTCAGCATTCCCATCAACAATGAAAGAGAGACCCTTTCACTTGAGGAATCTTCTTATCTGGATTCCTTGCCTCAGATAAGTCTGAGATGAAATTTATTGTCCGGCTTTTTAAAATGTCAGAGAAAAGATTCCAGGGTCCTAATATGTCATTCTGAAGCTTGTGGTCTCATTAGCAGGAAGTTCCAATTGAGGTTGTGACCTGGGTCTGTTTCCTGAGTAGATGTAGCCAACTGCCAACTGACCCATTCTTCACTTCCTTGAAACCCTGGACTGGCCCCTTCCTGCTCTTGCCTCTGCCTTCTGATCAGCAGGATTGTTAGCATTCTGGATTATAAACTCTGTGATGGACCATTCAGAGCATCTCAAACAACCTGACTGCATTCCATGTTAATAGCTGGACCTCACTACAGTCCTATTCTCAGAGAAGGGAACTGGTCCCAGGGCAGCCAAGATAGCTGGCCCAGAGTCAAACTGCTCCAAATGACCTTCCAACTGTATCAACCCCTAGATAAGGCCTCCCCCACTGCACTACAATTCCCTGAGTCTAGGCATGACTGACGCCTGCTCCTGGTGGTCTATAAATCTTCATGTTTGAATGAGCTGACCCTTTCACTCAGCTGATGGCAATGATAAGACAAAATCTTTATGTTCTGCTTTTGCTTTACAATTTAAAGGTAGATTTGATCCTTCTGTCTAACCTAGAGAATTTGTTGGGGGCAGCCACTTTGCAGAAATGTCTTTTTGTGTGTATTTTGGGTATGTTTGTCTGTTTTTGGACTCCTAAGCTTTTGTCAAGATGCCCAGTGCCCCCACTGTCATTTCTCAGCTAACTGACCTAATGATTCGGTCTAAGGGCTTCAGAATGCAGTGTGGCTCAGGCCCTATAATGCCAAGTATACCCAGGCCACGTGGTAGGGCTGGGGACCTCCAGGCCACACTCAGTGATGCTCAAGAGGCTATGTGGTGTTGGGGTGGTGTGCATGGCAAACACATGCCCTAGTTACTATGCTGTCTCCCAGCCCTGAGGTCTGTCTGTCTGTCTGTCTGTCTGTCTGTCTGTCTGTCTCTCTCTCTCTCTCTCTCTCTCAATAATAATCTGGGTCTCTTGGTGTCCTTCCTCTTATACGAATGTGTCTGAGTTCTTGATGAAATAGAGATGGTAAAACACATAATCTTCCAAGTGATATGAATTGTAATGGATTTAAGAAGTTTGAGGGCTGTGCTGCAGAATTTGTTTGATCTTTTTTTTTAAAAAAGCATAACACTCTTCACTCAAGAGGAGGTCCTGTGAGACCGTAAACTCATTTTCTGACTTGGAGAATAAAATGGAAATAAAAACTCCAAAGTGTTTTTGTGACTGAGTACTCACAATTTTGATGAGCATCAAAAATTGTATATTCATGTTCATACCAAGTCATCCCTTAAACTTTGTGGCTTAAAGCCAGAGTAAATACTGATGGTTTCACAGTTTCTTTGAGCTGGGAATTTGGCTAATGAGTGTGCTGCTGGCCTAGGGTATTGCATGAGGTTCCAGCTAGCTGACAGCTTGCGCCATGATGAGCTGAGGCTGGAGGTCCCCTGCACAGTGCCTCATTTGCAGCACTAGTGTCTGCTTAGCTTATTGGCTCTTGGAAAGGGACCTCGGTTATTCACCAGGAGGTCCCCTCCATAGGGATGCTGCATTTCATCACAACCTTTTCCCTTCAAGCAAGTTTTCCCTGGAAAGTCAAGAGGAGACCCTCATGCCTTTGATAGTATAGCCTCAGAAAGCACACATTGTTTCTCACCATTTTCTGTTGACTGCACAACTCCTGGCTCTGCATTTGGGAAAGCAGAGTACATAAGAGTGTGAGCAAGCTGAGCTTGCAGGACCAGCCAAGTAGATGAACTGTGCTGTCTCAACAGAACGCCATACTCTTTATTAGCAGGGCATTCCTTCTTCTTAGTATAAGAAAAGATGAAATCCTGCACAGTGCTGCCACAGGGTTGGAACTAGAGGGTGTCGTGCTAAGCAAAAGCATCCAGAAGGTGAGGGCCAGATACAAAATGACCTCTCATGTGTTGGGTGTAAGGAAACAAAGGAAGGAAGTAGCAGGGTCAGAGAGATAGTATCATAGGTCCAGTGCTTGCCTTGTACATGAATAATTTAGGTTTGAACCCCAGCACCCCAATATGGTCTCCTGGACCCTCTAGGATTGATCCCTCAGCACAGCCAGGTGAGGCCCAAAAAACAAAAAGAAAAGAAACATAGTAAGGGAATAACAAATAGCCCAAATCAACAGAACCTGAGAACTGGATTGCAGAACCCGAGGGTAGCAAGGCAGGAAGGTGGTTGCTGGTTGGAAGAGCCCTTGAGACAGTGGTGGAGAGATGCAAGATGCTCTGATGGAGGGGGTGGAACACTGTGTGCAGCAAAGCCTGTCACTGTCTGTGTTTCAGTCCTGGTCCTCACAAGAGAAGAGTGTCAGTTCCAGGAGGCTGGGATGAGCAGTGGCCCTCCAGAAGACTTACTGCACAGTTACCCTGTGGCCTTGAAAAAGCAGAGTAACAGTGTAGGGTCAGAGGATGTGATGCCTGGTGCAGGTCAGCTTGGTCTGATTCCATGGCAGCTGCCCAGGATTCCGCTGAGAGAACCTAAGGAGCATTAAGTGTAGGGATGGATTGGCTCACATCGGCTCATGGGTGTTAAAGTGAGAACTCCACCTTTCCCCACTCATGCAGGAGTTGAGAACCAGTGGAGAAACAGACCCAGGTGACACACTGCAGGGGAGTCATAGCCCCCTCATAGCTGCTGGTTTAGGCTTGATTTATGTCACAGTACCCCCTCCCCCCCACACACACTCACATACACACCCATCTGCTCTTAGAACACCCTCCACAAGGGATACTGTGGATCCATAGGGTGAATAAATCATCCCTTAGAATAGCTGATTCATCTGTATCCCATCCAGTGGACACATAGCACAGAGGTGGACTTCCAAACATGGTTCAGCAGGCAAGCTGACCTCAAGCAGTCTTGGTGGTGCTTACCCTAGACAGAGATGGAGATGCAGCAGAGGTTGCTCTGGCTGGAGGCAGGTGCTTTCATCTGTTTGTTTGGTGTCATTTGCTTTATTTTGTTTTGGGGCCACAAAACCACTAGTGCTCAGGGCTTCCCCTGGCTCTGTGGCTGGAGGGTGCTTCCGGCAGGGCCCTGGCTAGCATGTGGTGCTGAAGATGAAGCCCAGGCCTCGTGCCTGCAGGGCTCCAGCCCCTGCTCCAAGAGTTTATCTGCTCACCTTCTCCCAGCCCTACCAAGCAAATAACTTCACCCTTTTCTTTCGGGAGATGAGTCAGAGGTAGTTCCCCTCTAGGGAGTGGTATAAGGTTGTCTGGTGTGACCAAGAGATAAGCACCTGAGAGGGGATTAAAAGAACTATTCCTGTAAAGGTCACTCAGATAAGCTTGCCTGGGTCGTGGAGAGGTTGTGGTCAGAGCAGGTCTCATAAGCAGAGATCAGCGGTGATTGGAGTGTCTTCCCCCATTAGAAACACGGCATATGTAGCACAGCTGTTCTGCTGTGTGACTCCCAACCGTGGCCGACCTTGGCTAAGCCTTCTCTCTGTTTCCAGGCACCGGGTGGTGGTTTCCTATCCTCCTCAGAGTGAGGCAGAACTTGAACTTAAGGAAGGAGATATTGTGTTTGTTCATAAGAAACGAGAGGACGGCTGGTTCAAAGGCACGTTGCAACGCAATGGGAAAACGGGCCTTTTCCCTGGAAGCTTTGTGGAGAACATCTGAGGAGAGCAACCTCGAGAAGGCTTCGAATCCCATCACACAACAGAAGAGCACAAAGCAATGTCATGGAAAGAGCACATTTGTGGACTTCCAGATGGTAGGAGATGAACAAAAGGATTGAAGTGTGACCCCAGAGCCCCCCAACACAGCTAGACCAGCCAGCAGCATGAAGAAGGAGCGGGTGTGGGTTTTCTCTTTGGATTCTGCTATGTAATGTGTGCCTTGTACTGTCTGATTTACTCTACAGAGAAACCTTTTTTTTGTTGTTATGTTTTAAAGATATATAACTAAAATGAACCATTGTTTACAAGGCTTAACTTATTTGCTTTTTTTAAAAAAAAACTTGAATTTTTCTTGTAATAGATCAATTCTTTGGATTATGATTTTAAGAAATTATTAATTTATGAAATGATAGCTAAGGAGAAGCTGGATTCTCTCCTGTTGAGAGCAAGAGATCCTTTTTTTGACATAGAATGAAGCCCCCTTCCCCTCACCGGTATTATGTTTTGCTTCTTTAAGACAGAAATGCCAGTTCTCTAGATTTAGTTTTCCTTTTTAGGAAACGAAAACATACAACTGAATCGGTATCAATAAGGGCCTGGGGTAGGGAGGTAGGAACTCAAGAGAAGAGCAGTTAGTAATTTCCTGTCTTTCTGGTTTGGTCAGGATTCACCCTGAAGACCTAGTCCTCAATTTAATTTTGTGGGTTTTTAATTTCCCCAGAACGAAATCAATGAAGCGAAGAGAAGGAATGAAGCACAACCCTCGAACAAAAAACGTAGTCAGAAAAGTATTTAGTTTTCCACCAGAAGCAGCCCAATCCATTGATTGCAGTCAGGAAAAGCCCACTTTGTACACGCTGTCTGCTAAAGGCTATGAAATGTAATCACCCATTTCACCCCAAGTGATCTGCATGCCCAGGACACAATAAAACGTTTGTGAGATCGTGGTGGTAAGTGATGCACTCGTGCTAAAGTCAAAGGCTCTAAGAAACACTGTGAAACATTGACATCCCCCCCATCATGGTTCTTTACCCACCGTTCTTGCATGTAGAACCCTGCATGGTGTGTATAGTTCATTGCAGTGTCCTCTTGAGGTGAGTTTGTGCCCAGAATTGACCGATGCAGGAGGTGTAAAATAAAGTTTTCTTTTCTCGATCCCCAAGCGCACTGCTGACGAAGCGCGCTTGCTCCCTTGCCTGGCTAAGGCAGCCGTTAGCCATCACTCAAGTTTTAGTGGAAATTCTCCTTTTATGTCCTTCCAGCTGATGGATGTGAAGGATGATGAGCCGGGAGGTCGCGCTTGCGACTCTGCTCGCAGTTCCAGGAGGCTTGGTGAGAGCCCAGTGCCCACACCTTACAATTGTGGTAGGATCCAGCTGAGCCTGGCTTTTTATATCCATCCTTTGATGTCATTGGCCTCTTCTACCCGTTTCATTCCCGTGCCACGCAGTCGTGGGTCTGGGTAGTCCTACAAAGAAAAAGGAGGGAAGGCAGCCTGGGAGTGAACAAGATTGTTGCCACAGTTTTCTCATGAAATGACAAAAACCACAGTTTTTCTTTTTTCTTTTTTTTCCGCTTTTTTTAACTTTAAGAATCACAACTGGGAAAGCGACACATGAACTGAAAATGAAAAGTCTTCTTGGAGTAGTAAGAAGTCTCGTGGTCTTGCAAAGACATATTATGTGGTTGAAATAAAAATCATTCCTAAATTAACCATTTTTTAAAAAATAAAACACTGTACATTATGTTCCTGTGTGTTGAATTTTTTAAGAAAAATACTTTACTTGGATATTCATGTAATATATAAAGGTTTGGTGAAATGAACTTTAGTTAGAAAAAAGCTGACATCGGCTTTCATCTGTGGAAGTTGACACCAATGTGTCATAATATTCTTTATTTTGGGAAATTAGTGTATTTTATAAAAATTTTAAAAAGTAAAAAGACTACTACAGGTTAAGATAATTTTTTACCTGTCTTTTCTCCATATTTTAAGCTATGTGATTGAAGTACCTCTGTTAATAGTTTCCTGGTATGAAGTTCGTTAAAATTTCATCTGTTAATAGATCATGTAGGTAATATAAGTGTATGGGTTTTCTATTGGTTTTTTGGAGACAGTAGATGGAGATTTTGTAACGAGGGCTTGTTACACTGCGATATGGAAATGAGAAAATTGCAATTGATCGTTGCGTTCCATGTTAATAATTTGAAGACTGGAGAAAAGGTTCAAGATTAAAATTTGATGTTCATCCTTGATGTGTCCTTTGTGTCGATCCTTAAAATTTAGCTTTTTTGGGGGGGGAGGGTGGTAATCTGTACACATTTTACTTACTACCTACTTTAAACACTTCTTTGCCGATGACTCAAATAGGATATATCTACAACAATCAATTTGGTAGTTTTGATATGTTTTACCTATTTGACTAAATACTCCTTACTTATTTTCAAATAAATGATTACTCAAAAAAGTAGTAGCAGTGTGGCTTTGCTGTAATCTCCCAGCTTTTTGTTGTTTTGATGACCATACCTAGCAATGCTCAGGGGCTTTTCTCAGCTGTAAGCTCAGGGGTGGATGGGGGTGGGGGACCCTCTTGGCAGTACTAAGGAGACCATGGGGTGTCAGTTGAATCTGGTCCTCCCACATGTAAAAGACATGATTCAGCCTTTGAGTCCTGTCTCCGACTTGGCATTTGTAAGTACCCGTATAAATGTTCAAGATTTCAGATTGGTGGTGTTAGAAGCCCTTCCAAGAGGTGCTGAAAACATCTTAACTTTCATTTTGTACACCTATCTGCATGACAGCAGTATTCATCATAGAGAACATCTGTAAACAACCCACAGGCCCAAGATAAGTAGATAAAGAAACTCTGGTATATATACACAATGGAATACTACTCAGCTATGAAAAAGATGAAATTGCTCATTTTGCACCAACTTGGATGAAATTAAAGAATGGCATGCTAAATGGGGTCAGAAAGCAGAAGATACATACTAGATGATACATTTAAAAAGAAAAAAAAAAGCAATATAACCTTGTATTCATCTGACCAGTTCCATATCTGGCACCACGTGGTCCCCTCAGCACTTCTGGGGTGACCTGGATCTCCCAGGGCCCAAGCAGCATCACATCCTCAGGTCCTAGCACTGAACTGACAGCTGAAACTGAGAACCACAGACTTCAGCACTGTTGAGGTGCCTCCTGCCAAAACAAAATTGTAAGTCTATAACTACCTCGTGGTGTTTCACTAATAAATAAATAATAAATAAATAATCACTTAATCCCCGTTAATTATCGATTTACTCGAGCGGGTGCCAGTAATGTCTCCTTATATATAATAAAATAAAAATAAATAAAAGAAACAAAAAAAATACCTTAACTTTGGTCAATAGAGATTATTTCATCTTCAATAGTTTTTCCTGCTGACACAACCCCCAGCCCACCCCCATCCCCCAATACCCAAAGTAAAAGATGCAACTCCACACAAAAATGGAAGGAATGCTGAAGTCTCCGACTGGGCGGCCACTGTCACCTGGGCAAGCGGCCATCCCCACAGCGCTGCTAAATGTGTCTTGATTTCCACATCTGTGAGACCACTGAGGATCTGCAGGGTGAATGTGTCACTCCGAGTACAGGCAGGCCGCATTCATCTGTACTCTCCGTTCTGTGCAGTTCACAAATACTTTGTCAGCAGATGGATGCTGGCTTGGTAGAGGGGGTCTTGCATGCGTGTCGCGTGCGCACGCATGTGTGTATGTGTGTGTGTGTGTGTGTGTGTGTGTGTGTGTGTGTGTATTTAAATTGTTTCATTGAATCAGCATGAGCGAGACCATTACGTAGCTGTTTCATGATTGGGTTTCAGACATACAGTGCTCCAACACCCATCCCTCCACCAGTGCACATTTCTCAGGACCAGTGTCCCCAGTCTCCCTCACACCACCCCCAGTTCCTCCCACCCAGACTGCTTCCAAGGTTAGCACTTTTCTAATTAACCCTGAAGCAACTCCTCTGGAACAAAGGCGTGTTGCTTCTTCCTGACCCTGAGCAAGGTCAGTTCAAGTGAAGGCCAGTGCCTTATCTTCCCAATCACATCCACTTCATTTTTTTTGCTAGCGAAAATTGAAAGCTTAATGGAATTATCTTTCCCTTTTTTTTTAGCACACAAGGGTGCTACAAGACATAAAGCAAAAACGTCCTCTAAGTAAAACCAATTTCCTTATAAATTATATCACAAAAGCACATTCAATAAATTCCCTACAGGCAGAAACAAAGTGAAGAAGGATGCCTCACCGCCAGCTCACTCTTTTATGAACCAATTCAGCCTCTGCCTGCGGGGTGGAACGTGTGATTCTCTCTGCTCTTCTTAACCAGGATGCTATAAGAACTTCCATTAAGGACCCAAGATTGTGCAAAAGCTTGGAGCACATGAAAACACGCACAGGCCCCGTGGTTCATCCCCCAACACCTCTGGAACACCGCTGGTTGTGGCCTTAAAACAAATTTGTTAAAGATTCACTTTGAAAATCCTAGTTGTGGGGGGAGAGGGGAAATCTGGTAGTAAAAACTCATTTTTTTTTAGATCCCATCTGACAGTGCCACGGAAACTTAAAAGTCTTTGGTATACCACATGCACTTTATTTCAGTGAGATTACTTGGGCGGTTGAAAACCTCTCTAGCCAGTACCTAACGGGAGTCACGGAGAATGACTTTAAGGACATAGTACTGAAATAGCAGCTCATTGGCTCTTTGGTACCTTGACAGTGAAGCAGTCAAAGCCCATATAGAGTAGCGGACACATCTAAGACTGAAAGAAAGGAATGGCTCCTCCATCCCTGTCTGAAAGGAAGTCGCAGTTGAGGGCAAGTGGCTGGTTTCCTGTCTCCCTCTGCTGCTCCAGCATTGTGACCTTGGCTTGGCTCCATTTCTAGCCAGCCCAGCTCGATCCACGGGGTAGCAATTGTGGCATTCCTCTGATGTGGTGATGGGTTGCAGAAATCAAAGCTGGGCTTCAATCTCTACCCATGAGCTGAAATGGTCTTTCCTGTGATTTATGTCCCCGTGGAGACAGATGCGTGGGGCTGGCATATTATCAGTCAGCCCCTATAATAAAAACCGAAGTGACTGAAGCTTTCAAGAAGAGGGTATCGCAAAAGAAATTCCTCACATAAGCAAAGCTGTAATAATCTTTACCACTATCTAAATGTTCCCAGCGGCTTAAACTTGAAGGAAGCAAACTCAGCTTTAAAAAAAAAAATTAGAATCTTAGCCTTTGTTCCTGAAGTAGTCCTTAGGCCCAAGAGTGCATTTTCTTTCTTTTCTGGAAAACAAAAAATCCTGTGGTTTTGATGCATTCTCTCTTGCCTCCCTGTCTATTTGTCTGTATTGGTCTCTCCTCTCCTTATGCCGTCTCATCTGTTGAGCCTGATGTCTGCTGGGCTCCCCACAAACATCCTCAACTAGAAATGCACTCTGCTCAGTGGTTCCCCTTTAAGCCCATCAGAAAAGCCATTAAGGTTTTGGGGGTTGGTTTGTTTCCATTGTCATTTGTTTTCCACTCTTCTCTCTTGCATTGTGGTTTTATCGAGTTAAGTCAGGGAACTGGGATAGAATAAAAGCATGGCTGGACCCGGTTGGGGAAAGGAACTTCACTTAGATCCAGATTCTTAAGGAGTTGAGACTTTTTTTCTTTTCAGGATGAAGGATGTGTAACAGTGAATGCATGAGAACTGGGTGGGATCTCCAACACGACAACAGCAAGTGTCATTTTTATTGTCAGGAAGCCAACATATATGTCATACTGCATTGCAACACCAAGTTCATATATGATTGTGTATATGCTAAGTGGATCCTTTCCATCTACTGTTCAGCTCGCACAGAAATAAGTATAATTATGAGAAATAAGTTGAAAGTATGTAAAGGGATATACCTTTCAGTATCTGTATTGCAAACCATAATGCCCCAAAGGAAAGAGTGTGCGCACAAGAGAGCGGAAGAGAGAGAGAGAGAGAGAGAGAGAGAGAGAGAGAGAGAGAGAGAGAGAAGAAAAGTGCCTGCCATAGATGTGGGGGAGGAAGGCAGGAGGGAAACTGGGGAACTAGTAGTGGGAAATGTGCACTGGTGAAGGGACGGATGTTGGAACATTGTATGACTGAAACCCAATCATGAACAACTTTGCAACTGTGTATCGCACTATGATTCACTTAAAACATAAAGTTTTTTTTAAAAAATAAGTATTGGGAATTATATAGAAGAAATATTTTTTATCCTGCCAGTATTTGGAGAATGTGTACAAAAACATAGATGATTAAAAAGAAAAAAAAAGGCAGGGGTTGATTTGGTATGATTGGTAGTCAGTGGAAATTAATAGGAGACAGAGAGGAGGAGATCATAAGGAAGAAATAAAAGACACTCCTTAGCCCTCTGGAAGATTCTAGTCTGATGTCAGAGAAGAGCAAACCAGAAATTAAAGGGAGAAAAAGATGCATCTCTAGGAGAACACTGAAGTAGCACTGACAGATTATGGGTTCCAAGGAAGGAAGATTGGGAAGGTGAGGATAACAGAATGAAGGGAGTGGAGGGAGTGGAAGCTGCAAAGATTTTGAACAGGAATCAGAGAAAGCAAAAACCAAGCTGGTGGCACGGAAACGATAGTACAGCAGTAAGGGCATTTGCCTTGCATGCGGCTGACCCTGGTTCAATCCCCGGCACCCCATACAGTCCCATGACCACTGCCAGGAATAATTCCTGAGTGCAAAGCCAGAAGTAACCCTTGAGCATCGATGGATGTGATCCCAAAGCAATAAAAAAAGAGCATGCTGGGGGCACTGGACCCCAAACCCAAAGCCTAGCAAGAGTCACATTTAGGGGGAGTGAGATGGAAGCCCCACAACTTGTGCAAAATATCTCTCCCTCCCTCACCCTCTCCTTTAGACATTGTGGTTTGCAATACAGATACTGAATGGTTATTGTGTATATCCCTTTACCTACTTTTAACTGTTCTTGTTCAGGGTGATCATTTTTAACTATGATTGTCATACTGGTCCTTTATCTTACCAACCCTCTGTGCCCCACCCCACACACACACTTGTGGTAGATTCCAACCATTGACCAGTCCTCCTAGCCATATATATACAGCAGCCGACCTCCACTACCCAGCCACTGCCATGCTCCCGGCCGCTTTCCAGATGCTCAGGCCGAGCCTCACATTTGAATGAAGTTCCACGTAAACCAGATAATGCGGAACTTCGTGACCTCGGAC